ACGTCGTGTAAGTGCTCACTTCCGTGAGGGCGTGTGCAGCCTATGTGCAGACTCTGGGCTGCTCGCAGATTACCTGAGCAGCAGCGGGGAGTTACCTGCCCGGATAAAGTCACGTGACACGCACGATACGCACATATTCTGGACAGTACGTACGATCACATCTCTCCTCTGTCACCTGCCTTGAAGAACCACCCTCCTTGTGGTTCAGACTTTACCTGCCCCCCTCACCCGGGGTGTGTGATAGATCGTGACATGTGGCCTCAGTATGTTTAAGAGCGAGCCAGGCCACTGTCCCCAGAGCTCTGGAAAGCTCCCCAGGGCAGGAGTTGCTCGCGTTGTACGACAAGACAGTCGCAAAGAACTTACTTGACGAAGGGGCATCTTTTTATAGCCCCGCAAAGGTACCGCATGAACCACCAAGGCTCTGCCCGCAACTGCGCAAAGTACTTGGTAGGGCGGTGGGAGCAGTGTCGTAGAGCGGGCCGCGGACTCAGCACCTCAGATCTGGGGCCGGGGCCGTGGGGGCTCAGCAGCCTTAAGGCAGCAGCACAGTTTGCCGCAGCTCCAGACCGGGACCGACCCACGTGTCCTGTGGTGGCAGAGTGGATGGCCAGGATGCTCACACAATGGAACACGACACGGCAGTGAAAAAGTGGCCCTCTTGCTGCATACCGGGTGTGTGAATAGCCAAACGGTGTTGGCCCAGATAAGCTGGACAAAGAGTACGGAGCGTGGACTGCCACGGACATGAAGTTCAAAAACCGGCCAGGCTGATCCTTGGTGCTGGAAGTTGTGACCGCGGTTCCCCTTGAAGCGTGGGTCTGTGGGAGGCTGGGGGCTTCTGGAGTTGTCATGACGACACTCCTTGATCTGGATGCTACGCATCAGGGTGTGTTCTCTGTGAACGTTCGTCGATCTTAGGAGTTGTTTAGCTTAAGAAGTGATGTCAGACTCTACCCCCGCCCCAAACAAAGCCTTACTTCCTCCCCAGCTTTCAGCAGCTTTCCGTTTTTTTTCCTAAGTTTTATCATTTTGGGAGAGAGTGGGGGAGGGGCAGAGAGAGAGAATCTCAAGCAGGCTCTACGGTATCAGCACGGAGCCTGACGTGGGGCTCCGTCCCCCAAACCACGAGGTCACGACCTGAAGCCAGGAGCCGGATGCTTCCCTGACTGAGCCACCCGGGAGCCCCAGCTTCCCATTTTGAAAGTAAATTCCAGAGGTGGCTCTTAAGCCTCAGGACCAGCCAGGGCCTCCCTCCCCTGCGTCTGGCTCCCCTTCCCTCTGCCGGTGTGGCTGGGCAGAGAGGGCGCCTTGGTTTGGCCTTCTCACGGCTCCTTTCCCTCAGTCTGGACCATCTCTTGCGGCCCTGGCCCTTCTTGGCTGAGTGCAGAACACCTTGTACCTTCTCCTCACTCTGCTAGTGGCGCCTGAGGGTAAGATGAGGCTTATCACAGACCGCTGCTCCCTAGACGGGCCAGGCGGGAGGGATACGAGCTCTCCATTCACTCACCTGACCGCTCTCTTTCGTGGACAGTCACGAGCTACGCAAATGTCCCACCTGCTGCTGGCGCTGTTGATGTCTTCAAGCCCTGACACCTGGCCAAGGTGTAGCTAGCTCCGAGCCCTCTTCTCCTCCCTCCCTGGGGTTGCTGCCTCTCACCCAGGCTTTCTTCGTCTACCTGGTGTGTGTGGTTGTCCCTTCCGGTTAGATTCCAGACTCAGTTCTTTAAAAGGGCACTTCTGGGGGCGCCTGGGTGGCTCAGTCGGTTGAGCATCCGACTTCGGCTCAGGTCACGATCTCACGGTTCGTGAGTTCGAGCCCCGCGTCGGGCTCTGGGCTGATGGCTCAGAGCCTGGAGCCTGCTTCTGACTCTGTGTCTCCCTCTCTCTCTGCCCCACCCCCATTCATGCTCTGTGTCTCTCTGTCTCAAAAATAAATAAACAAAAAAAAAAAAAATTAAAAAAAAAAAAAAAAGGGCACTTCTGGCCGTGCCCCTCCCGAGCTCAACCACAGACAGCAGTTTGCCACCATCTGCGAGGAGTGCAGACAGCGTGTCCATGCAGGGCCTTCAGATGGAGCCCCGTGCACCTCCAGGGTCTCAAGCCTCCATCACCCTCCAGGAACAGCCTCCACCCGGACGTGAATGTGAGGGCGGGGCCTGCACACTTCCTGTCCCTCTGCTCCTTTGCAAATGCTGTTCCCTCTGGCTGGAGTTCCATTCCTCCCTACACTCAGACCCAGTTGTCTCTGCTTCAGAGCTTTTTCTGGCTTTCTCCTTTATTCACCCGTTTCTTACATGGTTTCTTTTTTTTCTCCTTTGGGCATCTCTTGTCCTTTGAAGCTGTTTATTTGGCCCCCTCACCCTCACCTTGCCGAGGCGGAGTTTTGTTCTGGTTTGTCCCAGCAGTGCCTGAGAGTTAGTAGGCTTTGGATGAATGTTTGCCAGGTGGGCAAGTGGGCGGATGGCACAGAGATGAGTCGGTGGCAGAGGAAGCTTGAGTGCATTTCGACCGCGAAGAAACCCTCCCTGATTATGTGTTGTGAGAAGACAGTATGATTTACGTCTTCTGTATTTTAGTTTTCAAAGAAAGGGTGAGAAGACCCTAGAGATGGGAAACCAAGTGATCTGTGTAAATTCCCACAGGAAGAGAGCTAAGTCTCCTGCCTGTCCTCAGACATATCGAATCACTCAGGACCCTCCATACGTGCTTGGCAGCTCCCTGAGAACCTCTCTATTTTTGCTGGAACGGGAACCCCTGGTTTTAGAAAGTTAGGTATTTCAAAACAGATGCTTAGACCACGAAGTCACTGAAAGTGAGCGTGGTTACAGTATGCCCCATTTTACACCAATTAAGCAGAGCTCTGGGTTTCTGGCTCCCTGCCAACACTCTGGTCCAGGCCCTGGGGAAATCTCAGCAGTTCTTGGATCTAATTGTTCACTGTCTGCAGAGTCTTGCGACAGTCGTGTCAGGGACTGCTGTGTTAACGTTGTGGATCAGAATATGAATTCCATGTTGGAAAATGTGTTGAGTCTGGTTCTTACTTCGTAAATAGACTCTTCCCTCAGTTTCATTGAGGAAGTGATAGCACTTTTCAGACCTTCCACCTTCCCACCTGTAAGAAAAGAATAGTAATTTTGATGTCGTTTCTTCAGGTTTACGGCCATGTGTGGTTATGAGGTAGCTCTACATAAGTAAATTCACATAGAACCCTCAGAGCCCAGCACGTAGTAGATCCCGGATAAATACTGGCCATCAGTTTTTCTTCGACGTGGAAGTGTCTGTGAAGCAGACTTCCATTTTACAGTTCTAAAATTCCTCGCTGAAACAAAAAGTTCACATCCCGCTGCTCCTTTCCCTTTAAAGGGTGCTCAGTTTTTCTTTGCTGATTAAAATGCAAAATGCTTATCCTTTACAGTTTGCTCCCCGAGTCCTATGGGCTAAAAGGAGTGGAAGGAGTGAGGGCAAAACAGGAAGGAAAGGGAGCGGGCCCGCCGGCACTTGGGGCGTGAGCCCAGCGGCCGCGCAGGCCTTCTCTTTTGCCACCGTGGGCACCCGCGCTCGGGTCGCGAGAGCTGACGACATAAGCCGTACTCACACGAGCGGCAGACGGCGCGGTTCCCCCAAGACTGGCTGTGCCGCCAGTGCTACGGAGCCAGACACATGCGCGCTCTTTCTCGCCGCCCCCCACCGCCCTCTTGCCAGGCTTCGTGCTGTGCCTCGCACGGGGAGTTAGAGGACTCGCTCAAGGTCACCCAGCCGGCAAGTGGCTTGAGCTAGATCCTGCTTCCGGGGGAGCTGGCTGCCAAGGGCAGCATCTTGTTTTCCCAATGCACCAACAACGGAGTATTCAGTCAATTAGGCCTGGGGTAGGTCTCGTTCACTACCGGCAATGGCTTTGGGGTCTCTGGCTCTGCGCGTGGGGGCCGTTTCTGTGCTCAAGTGTGCTAGGCGATCCACACGGATCACCTTTACTGGTACAGCCGCTTGTCGGTACGGTCGCAGTGCGCTCTGACAACGGAATCGCCCACGTGATTTTACCAGTCCCCGTCCGCGTAAGGATCAGTGTCTCCAAGAAACATATTTTTATTTTGGTATTTAGGTCAAAATGCTGATAAGAAGGTGACCATTTTATAAAAAAACCCAGGGAGTTGTTACCTTCAAAGTCTCATAACACATTGTGTTAGAACTTCTTTCACTTGCGATATAGGACACTTTTAATGTGACACGTTTGTGGCGTCTTTCAGGAAGTCTGGGAGGGCTTTAGACGGCAAACTTTGCAAAGACATGGAAGGACCACAGGTGCAGGTCGGGGGAAGGGTTAGTAAAGCCACAGAGATAAGAGACAAAGGTGTGTGCTACGAACTGAGTGGTTATTAGGAACAAGCCAGAAATCCAAGACCTCACGTGGAAGGTTTAACCCTAAATACTCAAGCTGCAAGTTTCAAAGTGAAATTATATTATAATGAAGTATTTCGAGTGAACGATCCGTTAATACTACTTACTGTTCTTACTCTGAGGTGCATATTTGTAAGTAACATGAGCTTGTGGAAATTTACTTTATTACAGATTACATGTTACAGGAAACATCTTGGGACAGCCCTAGATGTCATGGGTGCCGACTAGAGCTGAACAGTATTTTTATCATTTCTGAGAGGTGATGTGTTCTTTCTTAATCCTTTCAAGTGGGATATTTTCAAGATCATTGCCCGTTTCTGAAAAGTATTGTCAACAGTATGTGAAGACCATCAATGAGTATGTTCTTTCCATTTGCTTTTTCAGATACTGATGATCTTCGGAATGAAGTCTCTGGAAAATTTTAGGTTCTCCATAGGAACTACAAATATTGAAGGAAAGAAAATTTTCAAAAGGAAATTGTTTTGAAAGTATGTTTACAACTAACTGATACTGTTGACAGTTTTTCTTTTTTCTTTTTTTTTTTTTTATAATAAAACACTTTAAGAAGATTGTATTTATGGTAAAAGGAAACTGGACTAACAATGAGGCCAAAGACTTTTCCTGCCACGACTTATTCTGGAAACAGCCGCCAGCGACTGCAGGAGATCCGAGAGGGCTTAAAGCAGCCGTCCAAGTCTTCCGCTCAGGGCCTGCCGGTGGGACCAAACAGTGACGCTCCCCTGGCCGCCAAAGTCCTGGGGGGCAAGGATGCTGCCCGGCAGCAGCAGACGAGAGCCACCCCGAAGTTCGGACCTTACCAGAAAGCCCTGAGAGAAATCAGATACTCCCTGTTGCCTTTCGCTAATGAATCGGGCACTTCCGCAGCTGCAGAAGTAAACCGGCAGATGCTGCAGGAATTGGTGAACGCGGGATGCGACCAGGTGGGTGCACCCGAGGCTCCCGTGGGGGCAGTTACAGTAAGCCAGCCGTCGGAGCACAGTGGAGGCAGCCAAAGGTCCTGCGGCTGCCCCTCCAAGGCCCTGACTTAGCTACTAAGAAAAGTGTTTCCCGGTCGAAATCCGAGGCCCTTCCGGTGTGCCATTGTATTGTTTTCCACCTTCTCTCCAGAAGGGTCTCTTGGCTGCTTTTCCTTTTCAGGCAGGATCCAGACACTTGTGAACTCTACTGCAATCATACCACGTGCATTCTCTGTTCTGTCCGTGTAAAGGGGGTGAAGGGCTTTCACACTTGCCCTTTCTTTGGGGTTTATTTGGGCTTATTCTGAACGGTCATGGGGAAGACACTGGCTTCCCTTGTTTTTGGTCTGTGCATTTTTTTACTTAGTGAAGGGGAAGGTTGATCTTCTTAAACTCTGTTTTCTCCTGCTGTGTATATTGGTAGAGGAGATGTGGCTATGTTAGGGAAGTGAGCAGGCTTGAGATGTCATCAGACTGGTGGCAACACGTGTGGTCTGACTGTTCGGTTGCTTAAGAATAAGAGACACCTTAATAAGGAAGGAGGTGGTACCAATAACATAGAAGCACACAACTGACAGCTATGCATTTATGATCCTGTCGTGATTGGTATAGCTACGTAAAACCCAGGTTGAGGGGCAGGACCATGTAAAATGGAACTAGTGTCCGGCCAGGTAAAAATGTCTTTAGTAAAATGGAACTGGTAAAAATGTAATTGCCTTCTAAAGGGACGTCTGAAGGCTAATGCTTTGTTACCATCTGTCATCTTAAAAGTCACAGTTGCATGAAAATGGAAATAAGCTAGGCATTTTTGCTGCCTTGGAAAATTAGTAAGATTTCATGCTCAAAGCATATCAAGATGGCTTGAGCACTTTTAGTTTCTTAGAAATAACCTAATTACCTACTCCTGGCCTCACAGTCACAGGAAAAGGCTAACAATGCCCTCTTATTTCCAAAAGCAATCTCAGCCTTCTGGTTGCAGGTGATTACCATAGAACTGAGCTAGAGAATTTACATTTTTCAGATGATATGTTTGTGAAACTAATCGTGCTATTTTGCAGGGCACTTCCTTGACACTTTGGGATATACTGGGATTAACTTGTGTAAAGCAAGCATTGTTGAGTTGAAAGTTGCTTTTATAAAGCACAGGATCATGAATAATGTGGTGCCGAGTGTTTTAGCAGTGGAAGCTGACAGCAGAGGCATGACCTTTCTCATTGTGAAAATATGAAGTTAAACACGCTGCCAAGTGCTATCCCCTGACAAACAGAACTTGATGGTTTTGAAAGTAGGAAGGAGCAGACCTGGGGAAATACCAGTAAGATCGCAGAGACTTCTGAAACCCAACAGCAAAGCCTAAAATCTTCTGTAAATCGCTTGCAAACAAAAGAGGTAATCAGAGCAGGGTGTTCTTTGCAGTTGTGTTTCAGCTGTGGTAAAAAGAAACAAGTGAAGCAAATAATCCAAAATACAGGTGGGATCTCATTATGGCAGAATCCATTAGTGATAATTACAGTGCAAGAAATAATGGAGCCGGTGCTGTATCCAAGACAGTAAAATACAAATACAGTAAAATTAAGGATCGTGACACCAGTGAAGTTCCCATCAACATTTAATTTATGTTAATTGCTGGCAGAAAGGACTCCATTTGCCGTATTTAATGCTCCTGAAATAATTCAATCACTTTAGTGTGTAGTGTTACTTTGTAAAGTAAAACAGTTCTGCCTTCACCCTCACAGTCCACTTTGGACCGTTTTTTGGTCTGTATACAGGATGCATTTTGCTTTTAGAGAATTCCGGTCAGAAAGTCCTGACGGGAACCCAAGTAGCATGCGTGGAAAGGATCAACAGTTGCTCTAGAGTTCGGTCTCCCATAGCTCAGATGATCAGATCCAGTGTAATAGGCACAGAGACTTCTAGTGTTGCAGCTTTCCTTTTTCCTTTGTCTCCTACTATATTGCCTTTTAATGCAGGTTCAGTTATGTTCTCTTGTATTTTGAGTTTAAGTGTCATTTTTAGTCCTAATATTAATCAGAATGGCAGTAAACTCCAGGTTTTCCCGAGGTCTTACACACTTTTATATGCACCGTTTTATCCATCGTATGTGCATGCGCACACATTTTTCCCCATTTTACTTGACCTGAGACTAACTGGAAATATTTGCCTGAATGTTTATAAGGGAGTGTTTCTTTTAGGCTTTTCATAATAAAACAAAATTTACATAAGAGAAGTACATGATTCCTAAGTGTCCAGCTGGGTGAATTTCACCCAGTGAATTACACCCATGTAACTAGCATGTACTGGGTATACGTTTCAAAAAATTATTTTTTTAATTTAAGTTATCTCTGCACCCAATGTGGGGCTCAAACTCACGATCCCAAGAGCAAGAGTTGCATGCCAGCCAGGCGCTCCTGGGTATGTTTTTAATTGAAACATCTTTAAATGGAAATTTCTAGAAAGACTATTTTCTGTGTAATGATATAGTGTATATGTCAAATGATAGTGTCTAAAATATTTCACACATACATTACTAAAGGCTTTTGAAAATTTCTATACAAAAAAAGGCCAATAGATTAATATTTCTTATGCAAGGAGCTGTTCTTTTTTTCTTTTTCTTTTTTTTTTTTT